TCGTAAGTGTTCTATTCCCCTCTGAATTGACAGAAAAGACATTACATAGATCTTAGCATGAGAAACAAGATTGTCAAAAAGTAGCTCAAACTGACTAGCGCGTTTTAAAATGAATAAATGAACCTAATTGTCAAGTTAACAACTTCACCAAATAGACTACGATATGCAAAACCATAATGATATTATCAGTGAGGAATCCTATCATGCAGTAATCTTTGCACCCTAGGAAGACAATAATTTCACTGCAAACACTTAGTCCAGAAAAAATATCTTTAAAGGAAGCCCTTTCCTAAAAAAATACAGAATTTTCAAAGGTCTGATCGAAGTTATCTTGTAAGTAAGACAAAGACGGGTACATCAACCAATAGTGTAAGTGTTCTATTCCCCTCTGAATTGACAGAAAAGACATTACATAGATCTTAGCATGAGAAACAAGATTGTCAAAAAGTAGCTCAAACTGACTAGCGCGTTTTAAAATGAATAAATGAACCTAATTGTCAAGTTAACAACTTCACCAAATAGACTACGATATGCAAAACCATAATGATATTATCAGTGAGGAATCCTATCATGCAGTAATCTTTGCACCCTAGGAAGACAATAATTTCACTGCAAACACTTAGTCCAGAAAAAATATCTTTAAAGGAAGCCCTTTCCTAAAAAAATACAGAATTTTCAAAGGTCTGATCGAAGTTATCTTGTAAGTAAGACAAAGACGGGTACATCAACCAATATTTAAGAACTCTATGTGATTTTCAATTAAACACACAGCTAATAACTCACCGCAAGAACTATGCATTTACATAATTTTGATTAAGATACAAGACCAATAGTTTAAATCATAACGACAATCAAAACAGGAATCTAGAAAATAAACAAGCAGACTCCAACAAATTTTCTCTATTTTTTATTTCATGGCTACTGGAGTCCAACAGGGCTGCTACCCTCTTAGTGACGCCTTTAGAGTCTGGAACTGAGACCATGTACATAATAATTACACTAAACACCTTCACAATAGTAAATTAAAATATTACCACAAATCATTGATTGATCAAACAAGAAATCCCTTCTCAGGAAAACACTACAAAACGTTCCAAACCAAATTTTTCCTACTCAATTCACTGATAAAACAAAAACCCATCAAGAATCTTATATATGGAGCAAGAAAAATGAAAGACTAAAATCAAAACCGATAAACCAAGCAAAAGATAACAAAGCCCACAAACGAAATTGAAGATTAAACACAAACCGAATGGGAGATTGCGGAGAAATAACGCAGAGAGATTTACATTGAACAGAGAAGAGAAAATTTGGGGCTTTTGACAGAGTGAGTGTGAAGCAGAGTGGAAAAGGCGATGATGACCCAAGAGAGTCCTTGTGAAAAGAGATGAAGCCATTCAATCAAAGACCATAGAAATAGAGGGCTTGGCTTTTATGAGGTAATTCAGGTGGCAGTGAAAGAAGCCAAAGGGTCTGCTCAGTGGTATCTGTCTATCTCTCTATCTACAACTATAGCTGCTCAATGGGATGGTGACAGGATTTTACTTTAAACCTCTTTAGAACAGTCACTACCTCGGAAAATTATAGGGCCTGTTTGGATGATAAAAAATCATATGCTACTTTTTTTTCTTGTTAAAAAAGTGTCCCACACTCGAAGGGTGTGATTTAATCCCCACTCGCGGTTCAGCTTACCCCTGATCACAAAGTGCTTTTAATGGGTTTTGAACCACTGTCATTGAGGCACCATATAGCTCGTCAACTGGAGGTAGCAGTTTGCCAACCGCACCACACCTTGTGATTTACTTTTATTCTTAATATTTGATTTTTTAAAGTTTTATAATTTGGTTAGTAATAAAGTGCTAAACGTAAGAAATATAGACCTAAACCACATGACACTAGATTATTAGATCTGACAAAATTACTATAAAATGTATGGAATATTTTAGGAAAATGATTTTCTCACTCCCCTTTTATCCACCTACACTCCTTTTTGTTTAGAAAAATAGAGTGTAAGTGGAAAAAAAGGGAGTGGGAAAATCACTACTCATATTTTATGACTTGCGAATTCCCTTTTTCCACTCCTGTTTTTTTATTATAAAAAAAAAAAAGCTATAACTATAGTATCTTCCTTTTGGAAAATGCTTGGGAGACCACATTTATAGACGACATTGTGTATCACCTCGTTAATAGAGGTGAAAGCCATTGTATTGGAGCCATTATATTGGTGGACTCCACCTCTATTAAACATGCAGTACATAATGCCATCTTTAAATGTGATCTCCGTAATATGACTCCTTCCTTTTTATTGTGCACTTTTGGGAGCTTTAATCTCCTCGTCACCATTGATCAGCAAAATTCAAGGTTTACCAAGGTTACCAGTTGTTTAGAACAAGATTCAATAATTCAAGCTTTGTTTCCAACACCAACAGAACATTAAATTAATGTCAAACATTATATCCAACTTTGAAGGAATATGTAGAAGAGAACTTCAAGCAAGTGGTACGGTAATTAGCTGTGGCACCACTGCTTGGGCCCATACACATCGTCACCGTAGAATTAAATCCTCAATACTAATTAAGTTATTTGACCACGAAAACAAAAACAACAAAAAAATCAATACGTTATAGTTCAGCAGGAACAAATTTACTCATTACATTACAGTATAAATCAGCAAGAACTAAGTTTATGAGTTCCAGTATCAATCAGCAAGCACTGAATCAACCCTAGGATCTTCTTTTCAACACACGAAACCAGAAACAAGTACCAAACTTGTTGAGTTGAGAAAGAAGAGAGGAAACCTTGCTTATAGTCCTATGATTCATCTTAATCAAGACCCTCAAGACTAGAAGTATGATGTCCAACGAACTATGAATCTGACTTTCCTGCGATTTCATACAAATATCTAAACAAACTAAAATAGAAAAAGCACTTTGCTTTAAAGAAAAACTGCTCGTCGCAATGTGGGAATATGAGACTCATTTCATAAAACTACACCAATAAAGGTCCCTCAAATGCCAGAAATCACTTCTACAAGGATGCATTAAGATAAGCATTCCAGATGATTTATGTGACTACTGAATTTTAGAATGCGACATGAGTTTGATGATACGGTGGTACCAATTGATATTTATGAAAACGTGACTGATGCTCAAACTACATCATCTAAGACTCAATGATTCTTTTACTATGAACATTTTTTTTCTACTATGTTCTCTCTACTGCACATACAAGGGTTTCATTGGGTCGCTCAAGAAAAGTTCTGCATCCAACTATGTAGGGTCAACAATTATGGCCCTAAACAATCCAAAAGATAGATAGTCTATAAAAAAAGGAATTTCTAACAAATCAAAGGACATGTAACTTGAACACTAATGTAATTAGCTTATTGAGAACATAGAGTCAGAGAGAGACCATGAATCATAAAAAATTAATTGAACCCCAAACAATATAAAGGATTACAGAGAATGACAATGCTGCTATAAGCAGAATGCTCCCTAATGTAACATAATGATATCGACAGGTAAACTGAGACATCATGCAGGTCCAAAAGATAAAAACCTGATAGCAAAAGATATTTAGAAAGGAAATCCTTGATGGAAGTTCTTCTTGGAGTAGTCTTCTGCCAATCGCTTCACACCCTTTGCATTTACATAAAATTCCATCAATTCATCAGCAACATCCTTTGGGTGACAATTAACAAATGCCTTCAGAAACCTCTTCTCTGTCATCCTCAGTGCCGTCAGCATCATAGGGCCTTTAATCTGCAAGTCAAGACCCATTTCCTGCATTTTCTCTGCAAGAAATACTCGTGGCTTTAAAACAGCCTCCAGATTTGTGTACAGAAAAAAGGGATTCTCAAGAATCACTGGGGCGGGAAGTTTCATTTTTCCTATAATGAAAGTCATGTTCCTCTGAACCTTATCAATTGACAGTGTAAGCACAAGGGGAGACCTTGCCAAAAGACCAAAAATCTCATCTTCTGAGAAACCAAACTTCTCCAAATTTGTAACTTTCTGATGGATAGTTTCAAGGCGTGAAATGCCAATGATTGCGACAACATACTTATACATGGTTGAATGATTCGAAAGCCTGGTTTTTCGTATATATTCCATCTTTTCATCGTTAAATGAAGTTCTTGGGATCAACGTGGGCCGTGATAGAAGAATTTGGGTCAAGTCACTCGTGCTAAGACCCATTCCTTGGTATAGTGCGATGGCAGGCTTGACTTTATCGTGAAAGTCATAGGTCAAGAGAGATGGGTTCTTTACAATGGCTTTGACAAGAACTTCCCTCGACTCAAACAATCTCATAAAGTACTCAAGCCGCTCATCAAAGCAATGATTAATTCGATAACTGAGAAACCGGGGCCGACAATTGATGATCTTCACAAGCTCAGATGCACTAATGCCCAAGCCACTTAGAATGTTTAGTTTGAACTGAAGCTGATCAAGGTCAGCATTCCGCAAAGCAGGCCGCCGTGTGAACATCTTGGATATGTCAGTATCACTACAACCCCAGTTCTTAAGAATTTCTTCAGAGCTCTTGGGTTGGTCTCTAACATATTCTCCTACACCTTCTTCCTGGGCTTGGCAAATGGTCGAATAGGTGGCGGGCGGGAAAAGTAAAGAAGTTGCTGGGAACAGAGTTTTGGGAAAAGATAAAAAATTTCGAGAGGCTGTCAATAAATTTCGGAGCTTAACTAAAGAACCAACTCTAGATTGCATGTCAACAGACTCAAGTTATTGACTGCACATTCTTTGGAAAATTGGAATGCATCTAAAGAATCAGCATAGAAGCAAGCGGTAAAATGTATTTAAAAATTTGAAGCTCAAATCTTTTTATATTAAGCGCTCCTATAAATATTGGACTGATACACAGTCACAAAGAAGCAGCAAAAATGGTTTTCTTAAATCTTTACCACAAATTTAGTTCCTGATATTCATCATCCCGTCAGAGTCCTGGGCAAAGTTTTAAGCTTTCCATCTAATCCACAAAAAGAAAATATTTATAAGCAGATAGATACTCGAGGTGATTTCATATATATATATATATATATATAGAGAGAGAGAGAGAGAGAGAGAGAGAGAGAGGAGAGAGAAGGGATACCTGGGCAGCCCATGGATAGCCTTTGAAGGGTTTAGCAGCAACGGACATACGCATCGAGGTTTTAGGCACAAGGCACTAAGACGGGCGGCTAGAGACGATGCAGTGATTTGGATTGAGTTGCGCTTTCGGCCATTCTGTTTACACCCAAAATTTTGCTAGTCACACCAAGTCTTTTAATTCCTATTTTATCCTTATTGTCTATTTTTTTAGGAACAAATTTTATTTTATTTTATTAATATCTAGCTGGTCCGGTGATACTGTTCTCTCTCCCCTCATACATTCACATCCTCTCTCATCCCCTCCCTTCCTCATGAAAGCTTTGCTATCACATGTGTAATATGCAATTTGGTGTGTCAATGCAATCATGTGATAAGAGAGATAAACACACGGTTGTTGTATGTTTCTCATTTACGTTTTCTTCTCTCGGACCCAAAAATGTTGAAAGATGTTGATAGATGGGGGTTTGTAGTTTCAATGTTAGGGGCATTTGTCTCCACACCTAAATCCAGAGTAGGAATGTCCCTTATTATCCTTCGAGTTTATTAAAAAGAAAAGAAATGTATTGAGAATCAAGTACTCCTTGTCAATATTGGATAATTGTGGCAATTCCTACAGTTTTTGAGAGGATTGGAGACGCATTCATTTAATGGTCACCTATGTGTGACAAGATGAAGCCACCTTTTACCGAGGTGGGTGAGATGGAGAAATCTAGGAGCAACCGGTTGTATATAATTATGTGTCTATTTATCTTGTCACGTAACTAGAGATTGTGCAATTAACCAGCACAACAAAAAAAGCCAAGTATCAGCCACAACAGAGAAATAGAAGTGAACCAAAATAAAGGATAACCTGAACCCCAAATAAATAATAAACTGAATCCAAAATGATAACAAGGTTTAAACAAAATGACAATGCAAATATATTGAAATTGCTCCATGTTCATGTAACAAAATGTATAGAGGAAATCCTGTACAATAAGACAAACTCCAGACTTAAAACGAAAACCTGATAGCCAACAACATTCAGAAAGGAAATCCTTTTTGGAAGTTCCTCTTTGAGGCTTCTGCCAATCGCTTAACACCCTTCACATTTTTGTAGTACTCCATCAATTCATCGGCAGCATCCTTTGGGTGACAATTAACAAATACTTTCAAAAACCTCCTCTCCGTCATCCGCATTGCCCTCACCATCATACGGCCATTAATCTGTAAATCAAGACCCATTTCCTGCACCTTCCTGGCAAGAAGTACTCGTGGCTTCAACACATCCTCCAGATTCTTGAATAGCAAACTTGGGTGCTCAAGAACTGTAATAGCAGGAAGCTTCATTTCTCCTAAAATGAAAGTCATGTTCCTCTGAATCTTATCGACTGATAGTGTCAAGACAAACGGAGACTTCCCAAAATAGAGAAAAACCTCATCTTCTGAGAAACCAAACTTCTCCAAGTTTGCAACTTTCTGACGGATAGTTTCAAGGCGCGAAACGCCAATGATCGTAACAACATACTTGAACATTCTGGAATCATTTGAAACTCCGGTTTTCCGTATATATTCCATCTTTTCTTCGTTAAAGGAAGTTCTTGGTATCAATGTAGGCCGTGATAGAAGCATCTGGATCAAGTCCGGCATACTAAGACCAATTCCTTCATATAGCGCAATGACCGGTTTGATTTTCTTGTGAAGGTCATGGGTCAAGAAAGACGGGTTCCTTAATATGGCTTTGGCAAGCACTTCCTTTGATCCAAACAATGTCATCAAGAACTCAACCCGTTCATCAAAGCAATGGTTAACTCGACAAGTGAGAAACCGGGGCCGATCATTGATAATCTTCGCAAGCTCAGGAGCACTGATGCCCAACCACGTTAAACGTTCGAGTTTGGACTGAAGCTGGTTAGCGTCAGCTTTCAGTAGAAAAGGCCCCCGAGTGAAAATATTCGATATTTCAGTATCAGTACAACCGAATTGCTTCATAATTTGTACAGAGGTCTTGGGTTGGTCTCCAATGTCTTCTCCTACACTGTCTTCCTCGGTTTGGCAAACCGTCGAATAGGTGGCGGGTGTGAAAATAAACCAAGTTGTTGGGAGAAGAATCTTGGGCAAAAATAAGAAATTTGGCGAGGTGGGCAATAAGATGCGGAGCTTAAGTAAGGACCCAAATGTGGATTTCATGTCAAAATGCACTTTGTTTCAAAGCAGGAAGAACACAAAAGGCTTTCAGATTGGGAAGAGAATGTGTTATGAATTTTGGTATAAGAGGACTTGAAACCTTGATGCCTCTGCTGTAAAAATGCGTCTTAAAGATTGCTCTTTCTATATTAGGTTTGCAGCTGAATGATATGGAATGGAAGTCAGTTTTGTTCGTTGACCGTTGCAGAGGGAAAATACAGTGGAAAAGCTATATAGATTTGCCGTTTGCAAAGCACGTGCGCATATACAAGGATTTACAACCCCTATATACATGCTATTGATATTGTTTCATTATTTCGATAGTATTTTCTTTAACAACGTGGAATAGAAACACCACTAAACCAATAGCTAGTTGATGCAAACGAGTCATGTCTTGTCATGGACTCATATTCGGGTTGTGCTCTTCTGGATTTGTATTACATGAATTGATACTAACTCAACTTCTTTATTATTTTGACCCCAAAAAAATAAAAATAAAAGTCAACTTCTTTATTAAGTCTCACGTTCGAGTCGATACTAATCTTATAAATAAGTCAATTTGTATGTTGACTTTATAAGATGTCATCCAGCCTTGGACGTCACAGAGGTCTTGGGTTGGTCTCCAATGTCTTCTCCTACACTGTCTTCCTCGGTTTGGCAAACCGTCGAATAGGTGGCGGGTGTGAAAATAAACCAAGTTGTTGGGAGAAGAATCTTGGGCAAAAATAAGAAATTTGGCGAGGTGGGCAATAAGATGCGGAGCTTAAGTAAGGACCCAAATGTGGATTTCATGTCAAAATGCACTTTGTTTCAAAGCAGGAAGAACACAAAAGGCTTTCAGATTGGGAAGAGAATGTGTTATGAATTTTGGTATAAGAGGACTTGAAACCTTGATGCCTCTGCTGTGAAAATGCGTCTTAAAGATTGCTCTTTTTATATTAGGTTTGCAGCTGAATGATATGGAATGGAAGTCAGTTTTGTTCGTTGACCGTTGCAGCGGGAAAGTGCAGTGGAAAAGCTATATAGATTTGCCGTTTGCAAAGCACGTGCGCATATACAAGGATTTACAACCCCTATATATATGCTATTGATATTGTTTCATTATTTCGATAGTATTTTCTTTAACAACGTGGAATAGAAACACCACTAAACCAGTAGCTAGCTGATACAAACGAGTCGTGTCTTGTCATGGACTCATGTTCAGGTTGTGCTCTTCTGGATTTGTATTGCACGAATTGATACTAACTCAACTTCTTTATTATTTTGACCCCCAAAAATAAAAAAACCTCAACTTCTTTATTAAGCCTCATGTTTGAGTCGATACAAATCTTATAAAATAAGTCAATTTGTATGTTGACTTTATAAGATGTCGTCCAGCCTTGGATGTTGCTCTCCTCCACGTTTGCTATGTTAACAGCCATGAGAGAAGTGTTTTCAACTTCTAATCTTTTCTTAAGTTTAGAAAGCTGAGACATTCTTTAAGCGGCTGGAATGATTTTACAGTAGCAAACTCATCACTTGTCTCTTAATCCAGGTGACTCTTCCCTGCAACAAGAACTCCGATTCATAAGTTCTTTAGTCCTGCAGATTCAATATTCAGAACACAGCATAAACATATGGATGTGGAGAAGTTAAAAGAGCGTGAGAATGTTTACCAGGAGGATATGGATCATACTGATGACCACAGATTATAATGAGATTGTAACAAGCAGAGCATTCTGAAAAGGCATAGTTCCTCTTAGGAGCATGGACTTATCAAAGTACATAACCTAGGAAGAGCTCCTATCTGGCTATCTCCAGTACTCTGAACTTCTCTACCAGAACCTTGATTTCGCTTATTATTGTTTGGCGGGTTAAACTTGATCCTAATGACTCCTCCTCCATGCCTGTCAATTATTTTCCAAAAGAAAAGTGACACTTCAAGCATGAACATATATATTAACATGTCAAATCTAATTCTTCATAGATGTATATGAAGCTCCTCCAGATTTAGAATTTCAGTATTTTGACTTGTTTTGAACATATACTAATAGGAAAGATACAACTGTAAAAGTTAACAAATCTTGGGAAGGTGAATACCTGAGTGTTCAGAAGCAAAATGTGAAAGCGGTCTGAGTTAAACAAGGCATTTTCACCTACTCTTGGAGCAAAACAAAACATCCACATGATCAGCATGGTAATAAATCTTTGCTCCTCTTCAAGGATGAACAACAAATTTAGCTAGTTCTACTGTCTTAAGTTGGCTGAAAAAGCACGGTTTTCGTTGTTGTGGATTGTAAAAGGCTCTGTGCTGGTTCTTTTTTCAAACTTCTGTTTTCTATCAAATTTCGGGTTTCCAAAGCATTGTCCCATGCTCCAGATGCAGCATATATGCTTCCTAGAACAACGTAGTTAACTGAATTCTTTGGATCCATCTCAAAAAGACGCATTGCTGCCAGTTCTCCAAGTGATCTATTACCATATATGCTACATGCCCCAAGAATGGCTCCCCAAAGTGAGGCATTAGGCTTGATGTTCATGTCACATATCAACTTGTAAGCTTCTTCTAACAAACCTGCACGCGCGTAAAGATCTACAATGCAAGAAAAATGCTCAGCTCGGGGCAAGATGTTGTATTTGTTGAGCATAGTATTGAAGCATTCCCATCCTTCACCTGTCAATCCAGCATGGCTACAAGCAAAGAGAAGAGACAAAAATGTGACACCATTAGGTTCCAACCCCTCATATTCCATCTTTTTATATAAAGCAATCGCCTTATGTCCTAAGCCATGCCTTCCATATCCAGAAATCAGTGATGTCCATGAAATAACATCTTTTTCTTCCATCTCATCAAAAGCATGGTTAGCATCTTCAATTTCTCCGCATTTGGCATACATATCAACTAGAGCATTTCCCATGGCCACATCATAACAAGGTTGGTGTTTAAAAGTCAGGGCATGGATTTGTCTTCCCAAGATCAATGAAGCACTATTCGCACATATGTTAAGCATGGAGCATAATATGACACCATCCAAGGCCAGGTGCGTAAGAGTCATTTCTTTAAAGAGATCTAGCACATCTCTGCTGTAGTTACCTTCTTGTGCATATCCAGTTATCAGTGCAGTGCAAGCTATAATGTCCTTTTTCATCATGTTCTTGTATATTTTATGAGCACTCTCTACACTTCCACATTTAGCATATGCATTGATCAGTGATCCACTCAAAGTTTTGTGTGATCCAAACCCCACTTGCATGATGAACCCATGTATTTGACTTACCTTCATGAAACCACTACCTCCAGCTAAGGCTCTCAAAACACTCCCCAAGGTGAAGCAATCAGGGAACATGCCTGAGTCAAAATATCATATATACAATTAAACATAAATAACTAAGGGAAAGCAAAGGAACTGATACATATGGTATAAAAATCTTAAAGCATGAAAAAAGATAATTTAGAACTGTTGTGTCTCCAGCTGTAGCCTTGATTCCCTCACTCTGAAAATAAGCATTATATGATGCTAAAGTTTGACTATCTATTAAGAAAACTTAACTTCTCTATAATGACATAAAGAAACCCATTGTTGACTATTTTCTTGAGAGTTAAGTACACCAAAAAAAAGGCACACACAAAAAGGCCCGTAAATGATATGGGTAGTATAATTTTTTCCTAAATTGAATGTATCATTCAGTGGTCACACAGCAAACAAACGGGCAATGTCATTCACCTAGACAAGGTAAATGTGGGAATGTGGCAACTAAGCATTACTCAAAAAATATGGAACAAACACAAAGAAGAGCAAAAATAATAAGAATATAAAAGCTTCAATTTTAACCACAAGTATAAACATTCACCTTCCCTCGTCATTGAATGAAACAATTGCAATGAGGCATCAGCAAAGCCCTGAACAGCATAGCCGCCAATCATTGCATTCCAAGAGACCAAGTCCCTTTCCGACATTTCCTCAAACAAATAACGCGCATCCTCTATCTTTCCACACTTTGAATGAAAATCAACCAACGCACTCTGCACAAACAAGTTCTCAGCAAACCTACCTTTCAGAATACACCCCTGTATTTGCATCCCTACTTCCAAACACCGCAAACCCGTACATGCCCTCAACGCGCTACCATACCCAAACTGATTAGCTCTAAAACCCGCCTGACGCATATTCAAAAACATCACCAAAGCATTTTCATAACATCCACTTTGAGCATACCCAGAAATCATAGCGGTCCAAGACACAACATTTTTCTCGGGCATTCGATCAAACACGTTACGGGCACTAACAATGCGGCCAAATTTCGAGTAAAATATCACCAGCTTGGTATTTAAATTCAAATTTGAATCAAACCCACTTGTTATTGCGTGGTTATGAACCAAAAGACCGGGTCTTTCTGCTCGTTCATCGATGCAGAGTTGCAAGATATTCATGTAGCAAGAATAATAAGAGTCTAACTGAGTTGGGTTTGAGAGAATTAGTCTCATAGCCTCCTGTAGTTGACCCCTTTTGCAGAATGCGTGCATAATGAGTGAGTTTGTGTACTTCTACTTCTTAATGGGGTCTGTCATTATTTGAAAGTTCGTTTATCGTTTTTGTACGGAAACCTGGCTTCAGTTTGGGTTTTATGCCGCCATTTTCAAACGGAATTATGTAATTTTGTACGGACAATACAGAAATTCTATGTGGCGACAACAATATTCGTGGGACCGAATTGATTTGAACCGAACCGAACTAAATCGAATTAAATTAATTAAAAAGTATAATTAGACCGAACCGAACTAAACTGCTTTGAGGTAGTTTTTCGTTTTAAATATTATCAATTCAACCCCTTATGCTTTGAAAAAACTAAAATACATAATTGAAGTAGATAAGGGTTAATAAAAATGGTATGGATTTCACTCCACCAAAATGCAAATAATTATGTCAAATAACTTATTCTTCAAAATTTAGAAAACCTTGACCGAGGGGTTTACTTCAGTGGTGAGGTCCCTCCCCCTTACCCCCTTGGTCACCCGTTCGAATCTCAGGATAAGTGCCCCCTGTAATGTATCTATCACTAATTCTCAAAAAAAATATTTAGAAAACCTTTTTCTTTTGAAAGACTGTGTAAGTCAATTGGTTTACATCATTTACTAGAGTATATAAGGTTTAATATTTGATTTCCCCATCACTTGTAAAAAGAAGAAGGGAATTAACTTAGGGAAAAATGACCATTATAACTTATCCTTGTATCAACCTATCTGATCTTTCATGCATAAGTAGTTCGTTTCTAAACATTTGAAAAGAAAATATATAATGATTTTTGTATAACGGTATTTACGTCAATAATTGCGTAGAATAATAATAAAAAGATACGAACAACACGACAACAAGATAAAGCTTCGAGTAAAGTACAGAAATATTCCATTTCTACTTGTCTTGTTGGGCAGCCGCAGTTGACCTCATACATTCACAGGAGATGTTGATGCTTAATTAAAGTCTAACAGCGAGGCAGTATTTTCTGAAAAAATATATATATTAAGAAAAAACATCTCACAGATATTTTCTTTTAAAATATAGAGCCTCAACAGAAAAATTTCAGCCATAACTTCATCATCTGGCTAGAAACCTTGTGCTGACCATTCATGGCTAGAACTAGCTCTGCCAGTCTCAGTGTAGCTTCCTTCCTCTTTTTTTCAAGCTTACTGTGGAATTTCAATGCTGCAAGGGACACACTCAAACCAGGTGACACTCTAAATTCCTCAAGCTCCTTAGTTTCTGCAATGGGGAAATTCACCATGGGGTTCCATATTTATGACCACAATTTGAACTATAGCTACCTTGTTGTTAAGTGGGCTGCAAGTCATAATTATGCATGGATTGCCAATAAAAACAAACCTATTTTGCACCCTTTGGGAATTCTTACCTTGGACCAAAATAATACATTGAAAATTACACACAAGGATGGTGAGCCTGTTGTACTTTACTCTGCTTCAGAAACTAGCAATGCCAATAATATTGTGGCTACCCTTTTAGATTCCGGCAATTTTGCCCTACAAGAATTGAGCTTTGATGGATCACCCAAAAGGGTTTTGTGGCAAAGCTTTGATTTCCCTGTAGACGCCCTTCTGCCAGGTATGAAATTAGGTGTGAACCATAAAACTGGTCATGTTTGGTCACTTTCATCATGGTTTACTCCTGACAGTGCAGTTCCAGGGGCTTTCACTCTTGATTGGGACCCGGAGGCACACGAATTGAAGATTAGACGACGTGGGGTGGTTTATTGGAGCAGTGGAGCCTTTAGGAATGGGAGATTTAAATTTATTTTGCCTGATGAATCCAAGCTGAGGTATAATTTTAGTATTGTGTCAAATGAAGATGAAGATTACTTCACTTACAGTCCTGTAGATCAAAGTGGTATATCAGAATGGGTGCTAACCGTAATGGGGAGACTATATGACTTTGATGAGACAATTGATATTGCACAAGCAGATTATTGTTATGGCTCCAACACTGATGGAGGGTGCCAGATATGGGACCATCCAATTGATTGTAGGCATTCTGGTGATAGATTTGAGGAAGAAAAGGGTTACTTCAATCCAACCGGCTCTGGTCCGACAGCAACGAGTGATACTTCAAATACAAGCTTCAGCATCAGTGATTGTAAGGCTGCTTGCTGGAAAAATTGTGACTGCCTTGGATTCAACTCTCTGTTTAATAATCAGACTGGATGTCGATTTTGGACTGGCAACTGGAAGTTCATCAAGGACAGCTCAGGTTATAGTTCAAGCAGTATTTATTTTCTAACAACAAAGGCATCACGCAACCACGGTAAGTCCTCCTGATAATCTTTTGCGCTAAGAGTCTGTCCACAAATTTCCAATTTCACTTGAAAAAGAAACAAAAAGGAACTTTGAGTATACATAGAAAAATACTAAAATTCACTGTGAGTATACTTAAATGTTTGACACATCAATAGGCTTGAGTATTTTGTTCACTTTATATGGTTCTGAAGCCTGCAGGGTTCTAAAAAGCTACTTGTTAGTGTGTATGCAGAACATAAGAGGATAATCTGGATTGGTACTGCTGCTGCTGCTGCTCTGTTGACAATGGTGCTTTGCATCATGTGCTGTTTATTAAGAAGAAGAATTTTTTTACTTCCAGGTATATTCTTCAAGCATAAGGAAGCTTTGACAGAATTTCACAGATTTGAGAAATGAAAATCTTAATGTAATGCATTAATCAAAACAGGGGAGAACAGGAGAAATATTGATGACAAGGAATTGCTTGACGTGGTGGAATCTTACACATCTAATGATGTCAATGTGCTTCAGAATGACGGAGATATGGGGCATAATTTAAGAGTATTTAGCTATGCATCTGTCAAGGCAACCACAGGAAACTTCTGTGATGAAAACAAGCTTGGAGAAGGGGGCTTTGGACCAGTTTATAAAGTAAGGTTTTAAAGAATACGAAAGTAATATTGTTATTTGTTGCTAAGGAAAATTGATTATATCGCCTATTATGGATCTTTGATTCAGGGGAAAATGTCGACGGGACGAGAAATAGCTGTGAAGAGGCTTTCAAGATGTTCACTACAAGGAACATTGGAGTTTAAGAATGAGTTGATACTTATATCTGAACTTCAACATACAAATCTTGTTCGGATTTTGGGATTTTGCATTCATGGTGTAGAGAGGATGTTAATATACGAGTATATGCCAAACAAAAGTCTAGACTGCTTTTTATTTGGTTGGGAATTAGACCTGTCATTTAATCTCAGTATTTGTTTCATTTCTTGCAGGTTTATATTATCTGATTTTGAAGATTGCAAAGTTTTTCAATCTTTTCTAACTCTTTAATGCATTGGGCAGATTCAACCAGAGGCATGTTACTAGACTGGAAGAAGCGTTTTAATATAATCGAAGGAATTGCTCAAGGACTGCTTTACTTGCACAAATATTCAAGATTGAGGGTGATTCATAGAGATCTTAAAGCTAGTAACATACTACTTGATGAAGATATGAACCCCAAAATTTCTGACTTTGGTATGGCAAGGATTTTCACGCATAACGAGCCGGAAGCAAATACTAATAGGATCGTTGGGACATAGTAAGTTATATGCATAAGCAGTGCATTCTTATGTATCATGCCTATCACTTTTGATTGCCAAGCTAGCGTTTATGTACTAAATTGTACCTTTTCTTTTAAATTTCAGTGGTTACATGTCTCCAGAGTACGCAATGGCAGGAATTTTTTCGACAAAGTCCGATGTCTATAGCTTTGGGGTATTGACGCTTGAAATCATAAGTGGTAGGAAAAATAATAGCTTCTACAATGCCGATCGCGTCTTGAATATAGTAGGATATGTATGTCAAGCTAATCTCTCTATGATTAAGATTTTTATTCTTTGAGGTGAGACTGGAGAGAGTCTGATATCCTAAATGAATATAAGCTTCTTTCAGGCATGGGGGTTATGGAATGAAGGTGCAGGGCTAAGATTAATGGATCCAACGCTACATGAATCATGTATTGAGGATCAACTGATAAGATGCATCCATGTCGGTCTGCTATGCGTAGAAGAAGATGCAACAGATCGGCCTACCATGTCAGAAGTCATATCTATGTTGACAAATGAAAGCATGTCATTACCTATACCAACAAGGCCAGCATTTTTCACAAGAAGAAACGAGGTTGATGCAGACATGAGCGTAAAGGAATCAGAAGTTTTATCAAGAAATGACTTTTCCCGTTCCGATATAGTAGGAGGATGAAGGTATTAACATGTTTGGTGTGGCCCAATTGTTGTTATTATACTTACTTTGCTAGCTGTAAAGATTACTCTTTGAAAAGTGAAAATTTAATATGGGGTTCCATATATGACCAGAATTTGAACTATAGCTACACACCGTTATTAAGTGCTCTGCAAGTCATAATGATGCATGGATTGAAAATCAAAACAAACCCATTTTACACCCTTTGGGAATTCTCACCATGAACCAAAGTAAAGCATTGAAAGTTACACGCAATGATGGTGATCCTGGTTTGCTTTCCTCAGCTTCAGAAACTAGCTAAACCAATATTGTTTGTACCCTTTTAGTTTCTGGCAATTTTGTCCTACAAGAATTCAGCTTTGAAGGATCAGTGAAAAGGGTTTTGTGGCAAAGTTATGATTTGCGTGAAGACACACCTTTGTACCAGGAATGAAATTAGATGTGAAGTGAACCATAAAAATGGTGATATTTGGTCACTTTCATCATGGTTTACTCCCAATAGTGCAGTTCCAGGGGCTTTCAGTCTTTGATTGGGACCCGAACAAACATGAAAATTAAGTTTTGTCCTTAATTTAATATTTATTTTATCAGGCTCTTGTAATTTTTTTATGAGCACTCTCTTCTCTACCCTTTCACATTTTGCAGAAGTACAATGACTTTCCTTCTAAATATTGATAATTCCAACCCGTTTTGCATCGGAAAACTAACATATATATCTTCGTTTTAAGGTTCATATACATTAACAGGAATAGGACTTCGTGCTTAGTGTGTCTCTACTGTCATAAATTAACAGGAAAGAAAAGAAGAAAGGAAACCTTAATGGGATTTTTCTAATAGTTTGGTTGGCCGGCCTGTAGTAGTTGACCTCGTACATTCTCAGTACATGTTGATGGTTAAAGTCTAACGACAATTCAGTCTTGTCTAACAAAAGAAATCCCACAACAATTTGGTTTTATAATACAGAGTCACAACAAGAAATATGTCACCAAAGTTTTCATCATTTGGCTAGAAACCTTGTGCTGATCAGTCATGGCTACCCCTAGCAGTCTCAGTTTAGCTTCCTTCCTCTTTTTTTTCAAGCTTACTGTGGATTTTAATGCTGCAAGGGACACATTCAAACTAGGTGACGCTCTCTGCATTTACCAAAATAGGGAACAGGGCAAAGGTTGATCAGAAGGAACTTCTTGACGTAAAGCAATTGTTCACATGTAATGATGTCAATGAGCTTCAAGAAGATGGAGAGATGGAGCATGATTTAAAAGTATTTACCTATGGAAAGGAGGTGCAGGGCTACGACTAATGGATCCGAAACTAGGCGATTCATGTATTGATGACCAATTGCTAAGATGCATCCATGTTAGTCTGCTATGCGTGGAAGCGAATGCAGCTGATCGGCCCAGCATGTCAGAAGTCATATCTATGTTGGCAAATGAAAGCATGCCACCTACACCAACAAGGCCATCATTTTTTGGAGGAACACAAGAGGATGAAAGTGATATAAGTGGGAAGGAATCAGAAATTTTATCAATAGGCTTGTCCCCTTCTGATGTAGTAGGAAGATAAAGTTGTGCCTCAATCGTACTTTCTTTTCCATTAGTGTAATGATACTTTATTATTTGTAAAATTATTGTTTCCAAATAGACTTAAGGGAGCATCACTTTAGCTTGCACTTTGTGCGTTTGGAGGAAAGAAAAAGTGACCACATTTCTCCTAATCTGCTGGAGGCCTCGACCATGGATAAAAAGAAGAAGGAAGAGCATAAAATGCCCCTCCATCCCATTGAATCCGGGTCTTGGACTATATAGTGAAGTTAACTTTGAAGAGTCATTGAACCAAAACGTGCTTTATCCATTTCTTTTGTTAGACTTTATTTGAGCTTTCACACAACTCAACTGATCTATTTCGTTCAAGATGAAATCATCATCCCTTCCGGGTCCTCTTCTCCCCTCTTTAAGAAAATCAATCATGACACAAACTTCTCCACGTTTGATTAGGATTGAATATGGTGAGTAGGTTGTACTTATTAAAATTAAATTTGTTTCATAATTCAATATATACTTTTTGGTCATTTTATATTAGGGTAAATTAGTAATTCAATAAATAGTTTGGTAATATGATGTATTGATCAGTTAATTTTAGGATTCGTTTAGGAGCACTCATTAGTTGATAGCTCTTTTGTGGTTTGTGTTCTCCTGTAAAAAGTTGGTTATATCAACATCTCTCAATGTTCAATTTAAATAATGTTATCTATATTTTCATAAATGTCGATTACCGATGTTTTCTACGTTCATATAAACTAGCTTTTATTTTTAATTATTTATTTTTCATTCAATACAAACTGGCTTTAAAAATCACTTGCCAAAAGGTACTTGACAACTTTCCTTTGGCTGCTAGGCTTTATGAAAAAGGGAAATGTGGGGTTTAAAGGAGCTTATCTGATTAAAAGGTTTCAATTATGTGATCCTGCATGATTTGGATGGTGATTTTCTCTATTATGCATTTCATTTTCTGTGGCGCAATGGACACATACGTTTTAAGTTTTCAAGTTATGTCGGCCACTGGACCTTTTAAGTTTTCAAGTGACTTTGATGGTTAAATTCACACAATAATTTGCTTTAGATCGATCGATCAGATTCAGAACCAAAAAGAATAAAGATAGATATATAGGTACATATTTTGATCAGCCAAGGTTTCATCATTTGGAGAAATTAAAGCAGTTAGTGAAAATTCATGGCTGGCAGTCTTAAGTTGATTTTGTTCCTTATTTTTTCAAGCTTAATGTGGACTTATACTGCTGCTAGGGACACACTCAAACCAGGTGACACTCTCAATTCCACAAGTTCATTATGTTCTGCAAAGGGGAAGATCTGTTTGGGTTTCTTTGTGTACGACAGTCTGAATTCCAGCCAGTTGGGCATAACTGCACAAAATAACCACCAATGGATTGCCAGCCGAGACATGCATATTTTATACCCGACAGGAGTTCTTACCTTGGACAAGAACAAAACATTGAAAATTATGGACCAAGGTGGGACTAGGTTGGAGCTTTGCTCTGCACCGAAAACAGCTGGCAATGTTCTGGCTACTCTTCTAGATTCTGGCAATTTTATCCTACAAGAAGTGAACTCTGTCGATGGATCGACCACTCAAGTTTTCTGGCAAAGTTTTGATTATCCAACAGACACCCTTTTACCAGGCATGAAATTAGGTGTTAACCATAGAAATGGTCACGTTTGGTCACTAGCTTCATCATCAAGTAAGTACAACCTGGAGCCAGGGCCTTTCACCCTTGAATGGGATGCCAAAGGGCACAAACTGAAGATTAAGAGACGTGGGGTGGTTTATTGGACTAGTGGAGCCTTTACGAGTAAGAGGTTTAAGCTGATCATGATGAGGTATAATGTTAGCATCGTTTCAAACGAAAATGAAGACTACTTCACTTACACTGCTTTAAACCAAAGTTCTCCATCACAGTGGTTGCTTACTGTGGGAACCGAATTAAATCAAAACCCTAGGGCAGATAATTCCTTCAATTTGGGAATTATTTGACCTAATTGGGAATTACTAAACCTAATTGGGAGTTACTCAATTTAATTGGGGGTTATCCAATTAAATTGAGAAATACCTAATTAAGTTAAAAGAACTTCACCAACCTCACCTACCACAATTAGGGATTTGATTAATTCCCTAATTAATCAAATCCCTAAATGTACCAACCTCACCAACCTCACCTACCTCACCAACCACACCAACCTTGTCAAGGCCCCCTATAAATACTTGGCCACGTACAAGGATGAGGTACGTCAGAATTTCTACTAAAACTCTAGAGAGCTCTTCCCTTCACAAATCCTAGCCACCTCCTCTCTCTCTCTCTCTCTCTCTCTCTCTCTCTCTCTCTCTCTCTCTCTCTCTCTCTCTCTCTCTCTCTCTCTCTCTCTCTCTCTCTCTCTCTCTCTCTCTCTCTCTCTCTCTCTCTCTCTCTCTCTCTCTCTCTCTCTCTCTCTCTCTCTCTCTCTCTCTCTCTCTCTCTCTCTCTCTCTCTCTCTCTCTCTCTCTCTCTCTCTCTCTCTCTCTCTCTCTCTCTCTCTCTCTCTCTCTCTCTCTCTCTCTCTCTCTCTCTCTCTCTCTCTCTCTCTCTCTCTCTCTCTCTCTCTCTCTCTCTCTCTCTCTCTCTCTCTCTCTCTCTCTCTCTCTCTCTCTCTCTCTCTCTCTCTCTCTCTCTCTCTCTCTCTCTCTCTCTCTCTCTCTCTCTCTCTCTCTCTCTCTCTCTCTCTCTCTCTCTCTCTCTCTCTCTCTCTCTCTCTCTCTCTCTCTCTCTCTCTCTCTCTCTCTCTCTCTCTCTCTCTCTCTCTCTCTCTCTCTCTCTCTCTCTCTCTCTCTCTCTTTTACATAAGGCTCCGGCCGCCCGGTTTTCACCACACATATATATCTCCGTACCCTATTTAGCTATTGATTTTTCCCTAAATCAATTGAACTAACTTAGGCATCGGAGGGCCTTTGGCCAACACCCCCTCGGGTGTGGTCCTCTTATCCAATTTATTTTGCAGGGAGAAAGAGGCGGCGAAGAAGAAAGGGGAATCTTTCAACATAATATTCTCATGGGAGGAAATTTGCTCCCACACTTACCTCAACTGGGCGACTATATGACTTAGGAGGAGTTGATATTGCAAGGGCAGATAATTGTTATGGCTATAACACTGATGGAGGGTGCCAGAGGTGGGTGGAGAAGCCAACTTGTAGGCATGTTGGTGATACATTTGAGCTAAAA